GCTGATGAGTGGAGTAGGTCGTGCCCGGGATCCAAACCTGCAAACCCAGGCCACTGAAGCAGAGCACATGGAATTTTCACCACTCAGCCACAGGGGCGGGCCCCATGTGTGATTTTTTAAATGTGCCAATAAGGTTAGTATAATGATCATCTTGTTAGCTTATTTCACAATTTAGTCTTGGTTTCACAAACTATTTATAAAATATATCTGTAAAAGTATCCACAAGAAAGTTTTAGAATTTTTTAATTTTAACCAAAGATGATTTTGATCTTCTGGTAAATTATAGACACATATGTCAAAATTACAAAAAAAAATAAGATGATAGTGTATCCCATGTGACAGTATTATAAAATATTAGTAATGTATGTGTTAATAATGTTGACTTGGATTACATGTCAAGAGTGTATATAATCAATTTATAGATTTAATAAAAAGGTGGGTTTTGACGACTTCTAGAAAATATTTTGTATTTTCCTCCCACTTAGAATGATAATCTCGTTTCAAGTGACTATGTGTTAATTTTCTTAAAGTGTTAATACATATCAGATAATTAATTGTTAATCCCCTATTATATACTAGTGTTGGGATGCTGTGCTCAGTGCTGAAAATACACTTTCCTACACTGGGGAGAATTAAAAGTGAGGCATATTGGTCTATTATTATTTTGCCAACATTACATATATAAACCCATATATAGTATATCTATGGTTTTAGGACATGCATCATTTAGAGTGTCAGTCATTTCCTGTTTTTATTGTTTATTCTTTTTATTTTGTCTCCAAAAATGCCAAACATTATTTCTTCCATCTCATAGATGTGGTTCTCAAGAATCATTTACCATTTCCATATTTCTTTGCTGTTGAAGCAATCATAATTACTTTAAATAACTTTAAACATTAGTGCTTTAATTAAGACTTTCAAATTGAGATGTCATCCGTATTGTTAGCTTCTGAACCAAATATTCAGAAATGTTGGGAGATGAATACTTTTTGCGTTAAATTAACATTACATAAAATAAAACTAAACAAATCCTCTTATTTATATTTATGGCATCACAGTATGTTACATGTTATTGTCTTTTTAAGTCATTTTCTGTCATTATTTTAGATATTTTTTATAACTCATTTCAAATCTCTTTCACCAAAATGAGTTATTAGATACTCTTATAGTTACTACAAATGAGTGAGACAAATGGGTAATGTTGAGCTCCATTTCCATAAGAGGAAATTCAAAATTGGAGTTTGAGTGGCAAAATCAGTATTAGCAATCTGGATCTCTTTGCACAATAACACACAACATCCATGTATGAGATTTTCCATTGACATAAAATAGCTTGGGACTTTTTATTCTGTGCATTTTGAAAAGCAAGTGATTAGAATTCCTGTTCGTCATCATTTCTTGACTCAAGTATGACAGTAAACTAAGCTTAGTGTCACTTGGTAGTTTTCTACCAAAGCCGTTAAAGGACCTGAGAAGGGACTTGACGGTACGGGGTGATGTTGAATGCAAAATTCAAAACAACAAGGTGAGCAAGGAGATTTTTCCACCACAAGTTATTAAAATCAAAAGATTTACTCTCCTAAAAGGATGATTTTTCAAATTATCAAGCTATTTCAAACTAACGCTTCCTTCAAGATGTTAAGGAAAAATAATTTTGATGTATTATATAACTTTTATTTTTATTGAATTTACTACCTACTTATTTATCATTAAGTACAAGGTAGATACTGTTCCTTCATTCAGTAAATGTTTATTGAGCATTTTTAATTTCAGTTCTCGACATTGGAATGTGGAAAAAAATCTTTCCAAAGCTATTAAAACATAAAGGTTAAAAACATGCTGATTTTAGGATCTGGCCCCATGGCCGAGTGGTTAAGTTCACGCGCTCCGCTGCAGGCGGCCCAGTGCTTCGTTGGTTCAAATCCTGGTTGCGGACATGGCACTGCTCATCAAACCACACTGAGGTAGCGTCCCACATGCCACAACTAGAAGGACCCACAACGAAGAATATACAACTATGTACCAGGGGGCTTTGGGGAGAAAAAGGAAAAAAGTAATACCTTTAAAAAAAATGCTGATTTTGATCACAGGAAGAAATAAGCATTTATCCAAATAAAATTTACTACTATGTTTGCAAATAGGTTCCAGAATAGCAGTAAATATTTGCAGTTTCTGCATCACCGAATTGCTTACAATATACGGTATGAAGTCATGAATGGATATGACCAAGTATTTATACCTATTTTCTTTCTGAGACAGGTTTTAACATGGAGGAAAGACTATTCTGAGAGACAAAAACTGCAAAATACTTGCAATCAATGTGATAGAAAAGATTTTCGTGTTTTTTTTAAAGAATGGCACCTGAGCTAACATTGTTGCCAAGCCTCTTTCTTGTTTTTTTTTGCTTCTTCTCCCTAAAGCCCCCCAGTACATAGTTGTATATTCTACTTGTAGATCCTTCTGGCTCTGCTATGTGGGACAACGCCTCAGCATGGCTCCATGAGCAGTGCCAGGTCTGCACCCAGGATCCAAACCTGTGAAATCTGGGGCCACTGAAGCCACCAGTCTGGGCCTTAGAAAAGATTTTTAATTGCACAATCTAAGTAAATAAAAACTAAACTAAAAGATATAGGAAGGCACTACATGCATATAAAATATCTAAATTCAAAAAATTCTCCTTATTTCTGATGACATATAGGCTTGTGCCTCCTAAAATGATCCACATTCTCCACTATCTATTTCTTGCAAAATTTGTTACCAGAAAGAAGTTAAAAATTATTTATCAACCATATGAAACGCAGCTGATTCTTGTCCACCTGTTCATAATACATCAGGACATGCTTGTATTTGCTAAATGGACTGGAAAAGAGAGGGTATTATGCAAATATGCAAGAAGATATGGGTGTGACTGATGTTTCTGCATGTAAAATGTGTCCAGAATAGAGTATGAAGTAAAAACTACAGTTAAGTCTGTAATTAAACTTTGTCAGTCTTAATATCGCTGAAGTTTGAGTCAATGTTCCAGATATGCAAAGTACAGCAGATGGTCCTGAACAATTTATTTTCTATTACCAGTAGCATTCTACATCTTACACTATTTTGAATTTTTTGCTATATAAGTGATCTATAGAGACTGACCCTGATTTCTTACTCGCATTAACCATGTCCAATTTTAATACAAAAATAATATAAAATATATTCTTGTTTAAATTGAAGTAAAAAAAAAGATAAAAAATATTAAAAGTGTAGCCTGACTCAATGTTTGCAAACTGTAGTAATTTCTAAGCCTACGTCTAATTATTACTTTGAAAATACTTTAAGATTTTTAACTAATTGGATGATGAGAACATCCCACAATTAGGTATTGTCATCCCATTTAATACAGAAAGGAAAATAGTTCACATTTAAGAGATTTCTACCCAACTGTCACAATTAAATATTCCTCAACTTTCACATTCTCAATCTTTACTCTTATAAAAGTTTTTGGAACTCATTTTCTTAACAACTAAAGGTAGTATATGGATTTCTTAAGGGTTACCTTTTGGAGTGTTACTTGACAGAACTTTCCATATAAATAAATATTTGCCACTAACATCGGAAAAATAAAGCTTTCTTCTTAGTTAATACATTACATTTCTACAGCATTATGGTTAAAAATCACTTTCTGACTTACGACTGCAAAATATTGTCTCTATAACACCCAGTTAGAAAAGAACACCAGTTCACTGACTACGAAGTCTCTATGAAACACTGTTATAAAAAACAATGAAAAACGACAAGACAAAAGGGTACTTAAATGCGCACTATTGAGTGATAAAAATACACATTTCCTAAGTAGAAAAAATGTTTGTTAGTCCAAAATAATTGTATCTGTTTCTTTAAGTCAAATAATCTCTTGCCTTGGGATTTCATGCTCTCTTACGATCTCTTTCCACCACTTACACCAGTCTGACAAGAAACTGACTGTACCTGAGTCTTAGAAGCAACTTTTTACACTCTCAAAGAATTTTTTAAATAGAAAAACGAGATTTATGCCTACTCCCTGAAGTAGACCTTTCAAGCTTTCCATCTGCTCCTCTGTTATAATATTGTATTTTTCTACTTTTAATATAATATTTTAGTCTTCTGCTCTACTTCAAAGGGAAAAATAGAACAACCACCAAATGTGACTAACACTCTGAAACTCTGCACATAAGTATCCAGAGAGATAATTTAAAGCATGAAGCTATGTCCTTAGATTGTAATTGTCTAAGGTTAATTCACAGGCAATTATCAATGGTTTCTTAAGCTCTAGGATGACATTGTAGATTAGAATTTTCCGTAGGCAAAAAATCTTCAAACTAACTGTACATAATTTGGGGCATGATTATCAAAGGGAAGAAATTCATTAGTTGGACTTTCTAGAAGTAAAGCTTGAAAATTTATAATTTTAGGCCATCAGGCATATAATGAACATAGAACCAAATGTCCTGAAATAACCTAACTTTTCTACTCTTCTCCAAAATTGTGAGATGTTTGGTCTTCTCTTGCCCCAGGATTAATCAATAGTATAGATTTGCTTTGTGAACAAGACACACTAAGCTTTGATTAAGACATGTAAGCAGCCTTTCACATGGTCTCAAGTAGAAATGAAAGTATTCTTTAGCCTTCCGTTATTGAATTATTTTAAAAGAAGTCACAAAATTCAACTGATTAAAAATGGGCCATTTGCAGATCATATGTGTTAGCTCCAAGAAGCAGTGATGCAAAATTTTCACTGATGGATTTATTTCCACTGACTGGTTCTTTTCCTTTGCTAGATCAGGGTCCTTCTTTTCCTGTTGCATCACTCTTGTGTTTTCTGTTCTTGATCATTGCTTCAAGCCCAAGTTCTTGTAATCAAGTTACTCAAGCTTTTATCTTTTATAGTGAAACATGATATTTTCAGGACATATCCTCAAATAAAGAATTTTCATACTATCTAATCTATTTTATTCAAATTTTCACTTTTATTAATGCTCATAATTTATTTTTTAATCAGAAAAACTTTCCAACATGTGACTGGAGCCCACATCTTCAAGAATATTTCTTGGACTTTGTCACTGCCCCAGAAGTAGCAGAAGCTCTGGTTCTGATACCAACTGGCTGAATTGTTGTGTAGAACATCAGACAGTCCTGGAAAATGTATGAGAACATACTCTAGACATTAGTATAGGGACAACCACATATTTATAACTTACACATTATGCAAAGGAGGTCTCACTTGAGTTGTTGGTTATGATGCATTTCTCAGAAAAGAGTAAACAAGCTTTATCTTCTAAACTTATAAACATATTTAACCATTCATTAGGCTACCACGTTATTGATAAGGTTTTAGCTTGCTGTGATAAGGATAGGACCATATTTCTCATGAGAGAAGCATCTGCTAGTGCTCAAAATATAAAAAGGTACCATGTCTTGTATTCACCGTTCTTGATTAGAACTCTGAAGGGAGTGACAAGAAAGACGTAACCTTAGACTCATAGAATGTAAGTCATGACTAAAACTCTCAGTCAGTGGAGAAGTATACCTTGCCTCACCAGCATCAAAACCCACAATATCAGTCTCTCTGTGTTTCCCTTGAGTGCACGAGGCTGGCTGTGGACCATTTCACATATGCCATAAGGTCACTCTAACTCCATTACTCTCTTTGAGATCAAGAACATTCATGAACAAAGTATCATTTTGATGCACAAGCTAGGAATAAACAATGGTCAAAAGCATTAGATTGACCATCAAAACACGAGGAAAAGGCAGTGTCTGCCTTTCCTCTATTAGTTTGTAAAGTCACTTTCTGGTGGTCAGTTTAGTTAAGCAGCCATATTAAATATGTGCATGGCACCTTGACCACTTGATTGAAGAAACTATTTGAATAGCATCTTGAATATATATGTTGTAAGTAATAAATGATTTATAATTTTCTCGGTTGCTTCTTTCAACTGGCATCCTTGAATTTCATGTTTTCTCTATCTTGAACCACACCCTAAATTCAAAGTTGTCATACAAATATAATAATTGCCAGTTGGCTAAAATACAGCGTAATAGGGAATCTGATCTGACAGCAATGATCAAGGAATCGAAAACCTCCTGTTGCTCCCCCTTTTTCTGTTACATGTTTTTTGTTTAGTTGTGTTTTGTTATTTTGTTAGGAAGATTGTCACTGAGTTAACATCTGTGCCAGTTTTCCTCTATTTTATGTAGGTTACTGCCACAGCGTGGCTTGACAAACAGTCCTAGGACCACACCCAGGATCCGAAACTTCGAACCCCGGACCACCAAAGTGGAAGGTAAGAACTTAACCACTGCGCTACCAGGCAGGCCTCTCTGCTACCTGTTATGATCATAGGGGACTGTTTGCTCTTTGCAGTGGATTCAGATTTCTGCTGCAGCCCCCTGACTAAAATGTTCTTTTGCCTTCCAATCTGACATAATCAACAAACTCTAGGTTTTCTTGTCATCTAACATTAAGAGCAGAAAGAACACTTAATAGGCTTCAAGAAGGAAAAACAAAAGAGTATGTTTCTCTTATGTGTCTTGGGATGCTGAGCCTTGCTCCTGGAAGGAGAGAAAGTCACATCAGACAGGAAGGAGAATTGCTATGTTCAAACTTTACTTCTTCAAATTGCGTAAAATCAATATTGCATATTACAGAGCGTAAGTCAATAACATCATGAAGACAATGTATGAATAATATGTATGTTAAGAAAGTTGTATTATGCCTATTAAGTAATTGAAATCTTTACAGGAATGAGAATTATAATTGCAAGAGTTATGTGTAGTTTTTTAACATTTTGATGACTTTTTCGTCTGTTGTATTTTATTTTTACTTCTATATCTGCAGAATTGCATTTATTTTCTTTAAATGCAATAACAACTTTGAGGTGAAATATTATCCTAGATTTTCACATAGCCAGCTTTTCATGTATTTTAGGTTGAACCATAGGAAATTATAATTTTTGAGAGTCAAAAATGGTTGACTACTGGCAGTTTCATATTGTTCAACTTATATAATATATTGACACATTTGAATATTGAAATCACTGTCATGTGCTCAAAATGTGGTTATCCTTTGATTCCAGCTTAGCCACCAAGACTACATATACTTCTAGAAATAAGCTAACATAATTTTTTCACATTTTCTATAAGCACTAAAATATATGTAGTTGCATAGCTCTGTGTGTCATTGTGAAAGCAGAATTTATGTTATGCTGCCTACTTATGTACTTTTCAAGAAATTTAGTAGCACTGATCTATTGAGGCAGCCTGGCCAACTTCTAAATAGCCACATTTTTATCTCAACATATGAACCATAGAGCCAGCAGCCAAAATATGTCTTTGAAAATGAAATCTGGTTGCTGGAGATTTGCTATGATCTATAATCTAAAATGTGCCAGTGGCTTTAGGTTTTGATTTGTTAGCCTTAAACACACACGCACATACAAACAACAGCTTGTCTAACCAGATCCTGGCTGGAATAATTTCTAAAACAAACAAAAGTAAATGCTCATCAGTTATATCGGTGCTTACAGTAAAAGTGACGTGACAACTTTTCATATCAAGAAAAAGAACAACAGAAGTAGCTGTAAAACTGCCGTGTACAAGGAAGTTCTTAAGTGTATTTCACAAATACAAATTTTACGGATCAAATTACTTACCATAAAAATTAGCTTCATTGAAAAGACATTTAAATCTCTGTATTCATATGGCCATATTATCAGGAATGATATTATCTAGGGCAGGAAAAATATTCCATAGAATAGTGAGAGCTACGTGAAGCCAAATTTTCATATACCTTAAATCTACAGAAATGAGAATACGTTTATATCAGAATTTTCTGAAATCCTGTGCTAATGAAGGCACAGGTACAAATAGCCAGGAATGATTTTTGTGACGCAGTCAAAGTACAAAAGTGTAAAGAGTGACTTTATTTACCAAGAGAAATAATATACAAATTGTTCAGATGATTCATGGTCCTTTTAAAATCCACTTATTGGTATAAAATAAAATAACATTACACAAATCTGAGCTTACAAAAAGTGGAATGAAGGAATGATAAAGACATCGTTAGTGTCTGCCTGATGGGAAAGACATGGGCCAGCAAAAGTGTCAGTGTACTAGCACACTGAGTTAGATATGCACTAGGGTGTTTCTAGTTATTTTGTTTGGAACACTGGGGAAAGTTAAGGTTCATCCTAAATGAGAAGACCTGCTGAAGAAGAGGGCATTTTCATCCATGAACCTTTGTATGTGGCTGGTCAACTCACCCATCATCGACTGCACAGAACAAAATAAAGTGAGCTAAAAGCAAATATTTCCATCTCATTACACCTCACTTGTCTTCTTGTTTTCTATTCACATCCTTCTGGCTTTTGAGCCCTTTTTAAACTCTGTTTCTCAAGATCCATCCAAACCAATCTCTACCTCCTTCTTTAGGAGATATATGGCATGTGAAAACCCTATTCGCTAGAAATTCGATGTACAAGCACAATGAATTAAAACCACTTTGGATGAGATGAGAGACTGGATATGATAAATTGCTGAATGCAACTTAGCATAAATTATATCATGCAGTCTTCACCACACTGTGAGATACATGTTACTTTTATAGACAAGGAAGCTACTGCTCAGAAAATCATTTTCATGATGTATGTTGTATCTGTCATCAAATTCTCTCTGATCCATTTTTAGGATATATCTAGAACCAGAACACTTCTTTACCATCGCCATCTTGCTCAGAGCCACCACTGTTGCTCACCTGGAATACTCCAGGTGTTCTCCTTCTGCTCTGTCCTGTACGGTCTGTTAGAAACACAGCAGAACATTATACAATAAATTCAGATATGTCACAGCTCAGTCCAACATCCTCAAGTGCCTTCCCCTTTCACTTAAAGAGAGACACGCAAACCATTTTACAGTCTACAAGGCTGGATATGATTTTTACCTCTACTCTATTTCCCACCACTCAATCCCTCGATCATTCTGATCCAGGCTCACTGGCTTTTTTACTCCTCAAACAAGCCTCTTCAAGGCCTGATCCTTGCGCTTCTCCCCCTGCATGGGAGGTATTTCCCTCAGATATCCAGAGGGCAGAGTACTTCATTTTTTACAGGTCTCTGATCAGAGGTCACCTGGAGAATCAGGCCTTACCTAACTCTCCCATATGAAACAGAAACCCCACTCCCATCCTCTGGCTTTCTGTATCCCCTTTGTTTCTTAGTAGCTTTTATTATCATTTGTATATTAAATGTACTTGTTTATTTGTTGACTATATGTCCTTAGAACTAGAATGTAAACCTCCTGAAGCCTGAGACCATTTCATTCACTGCTCTATGCTCCGTGCCTGGAACAATGCACACACATAGTAGGTACACAATCAATAGTTGTTGAATTAATCCATACCCTCTCTTTGGAAGTTCAGTATAAGGTAGTCATGGTAGTATCATCTCCTAGGAAAGAACTGTTTCAGGAATGGTTTTGAGATGTCACTATAACCAATGTTATATAAAAGGAGGTCTCTGGGGGATTCTGGGAAATTTTTCCCGTTCCTCAGATAGAGAGACCTCAGAAGAGACTACCTCCCTTCCGACTTTACTTTTTCTTTGTGGATAGTGATGTCTGGAACCGCTTGTGGCCTATACATGCCATGAATACCATGGATGTCAGAGAGGAGAGGTGGAAAGGACATGAAAAAAAGTCAGCGTCATTTTTGATCTTCCAAATCAATCATTTTGGAGGATACTCCATCTCTGAGCTTCTTGATACATGAGAGAACATATTTTGTTACTGTTTAAGCTTGAGTTAGAGCTCTCCTATTTGTGCCAAAGCATTGTTCCCCTATCATAGAAGGTGAAATTCAGCTCTTAAATCAGAGTTTTCCATGCAATTCGTTTTGGCCAATGAACTTACAATTGTGACCAAAGCAGGAATTTACAAAGCACTGGGGAATTGGAATTTTCGTGCTTGCTACGTTTGGAACTCTGTAACAGCAATTATGTGAACAAACCCAGGCTAACTACTCAATGATGAGAGACATACACAGCTGCTACCACTGAATCAGCTGAGAGCCAACTGCCAAACATGTAAGTAAAGCCATTGACCGCATGCATCGACTCCCAATGCATGAATGAGTCAAGCTCAGCAGATGCACTGCTTAGCTGAGCAAAAGCCAAATGGCTGTCCCACAGAATTGTGAGCTAAACAAGTGGGTGTTATTTATATCACTAAATATTGAGGTAGATTGTAACACACCAAATCTAAAGGATACAGCATCTTGACTGATATATAGTGACAAAGAAAAGTTCATCTGTTTGCTTTCACAACAATCATTTCCACTTTATCAACTGTAAGGGTATTCATGGTGTCAATGCTTTCATATTCTAAACTTAGCTATCTAGACAAAGAGAAAGTTAAAAACGGGGTGAGTCGGGGTAATGAAAAAGATTAAAGTAAGCACATTCTTGTTGGTGATGTGCACACAAGCAGACCAGGTTGTGGGACCACCCTAAGAATTCTCTGTCATAAATGCCACAAATAACAATATGAGGAAAACTTAGAGATAATAGAAAAACTTAGAAATATTAGTTCGATTCCAAAATTGTCTTTTAAGGCCCCTTTCTTTCATTAGAGAAACTTCTTATATAATATTAATCCCAACGGGTCCTCACCCACTGCATTACACTGGTGCCTAAGAACCAGTTCTTAGACATGAGACGGCACCCCATAAAGGAAGCTGTCTATCTGCCTACACGTTGTGTCATTTTGTAAACTTGCTGACATGTAGCAAAATTACACAAATGCATCTTGACCATCTGGAGTAACGGATGAGTGGTCTTGTTTCTTCAGGCTGGCCTGACATGCCCACCGATGAAGGTAAGTCACAAGCTTGTCTCGTGCCCGCCCTGACTTACTCTAGGCAAACTGGTATTTCAATTTGAATGAACATTTTTTACTTGGTTTTAGCATTGCTTTGCTCAGCTTAGCTTAAATCTCTGTTCTTAAGACTTTGTCTTAGACATACAATAACTTTTTTTTTCTATTTCGGAATATGTCAGATAGAATATCTGGCTTGGGCCAAGATATTCAGATATTCATTCTGGGGAAACTAGATATTTTAACATTTAATTAAACATCACATATTGTAGATTTTCCAATAATAAGTGTGTCTTGGCAATACATTCTCTAGAATCAATAGAAAATATTTGAGTAAAAGAACAAACTAATATACATATTTGGAGTAAATAGAAATACCATCAATACAGCAAAAATGGGATCACTGACCTCAGTTTTTGATCACATTTTATAGTTTTTTCTATATAATTTTATGGTAATTTCTTGAATTCTTTGAGCCGCAATTGTTTCAGCTATAAAATGAGAATAATAACAGGTGTGAGTAGTGGCCTCAACACAGCAGCATGAGTGAGAGCTGATGGTGAATGCGCTCCAGGAAGAGAAGAAATTCCCTCTTGGAGGCAGCAATCTTGCCCTTTTGTCACAGATTTAGAGCAGAATAAGGAATCAGTCATTCACGCGGCATAGTCCTTCTATGAAAGAATTCTAAGTTGAAAAAAAATTTTGGAAGAATAGCTATTTTGCTGCTGAGAACAAGAGATGAATAAGAAGACCTGAGTAAATGATACGTGTTATACGCGTGCATCCATAAAAAGAGCCACAGGTGTCTCTACAACTGCTTCTTACTATCAATGACAAAAAACAAGGTAACATTGATGAAACAAGAAATGGAAAAATGGGACCACATGAAAAAGGAACTAGAAGTCTTTATAAAAATATAAAGAGGGAGCTGGCCCCATGGTCTAGTGGTTAAGTTCACGCACTCCGCTTTGGCAGGGTGAGGTTCACCGGTTTGGATCCTGGGCATAGACCTACACACTGCTCATCAAGCCATGCTGTGGTGGCATCCAACATAGAAGAACTGGAGTGGCTTACAACTAAGATATACAACTATGTACTGGGGCTTGGGGAAAAAAAAAGAAAAGAGAGGAAGATTGGCAACAGACTTTAGCTCAGGGCCAATCTTCCTCGCCAAAAAAAAAAAGAAAAGAAAAACAAAGAAATAATGATTCAAAAAGAAAAAGTCATAATTAGCTAAGTTGAATTAACACTGTGTTCAAATAAATAAGTAAATAAAAGTCCTGAAATAAAAGAAGCCAAAATTTACAAAACAAAAGACCCTCTAATTCTAAGTTCTGTTACAAAGGAATGAAGAGAGGAAGGCACTACAAAATTAAAAGGTTGTGATGAACTTATTGGACTGTATGATTAAAGAAAAGAAGCCTACAGCATCCTAGACAGTGAACCAAAGCATCCAACAAAACAATGCAAACAAACATGCAGCAAGAAAAAAAAAAAAAAAGCAAAACAGATCTGTATGCCTATTGCGAAATTTCTATTTTCGAATTCTATGTACCAGAAGGCAGTAGGGAACGGCCATAAAGTTTTATGAGAAAATGAACACAACCTTAGGATTTCTCAAATTGTTTTCATGTATTAGAATATCTAAAGGCATTTGCAAATATGCAATACTAAGACCCAGGGTCATATGAGAATAGCCAAAACTAGCATTCTTCACTACACATACTTCTTTTTTTGTTTTGCCTTTTTTAAAAAATTTAGTTTAATTTAATTTAACTTTATTTTTTCTTTGAGGAAGATTAGCCCTGAGCTAACATCTGCTGCCAATCCTCCTCTTTTTGCTGAGGAAGACTGGCCCTGAGCTAACATCCATGCCCATCTTCCTCTATTTCATGTGGGACGCCTACCACAGCATGGCTTGCCAATCGGTGCCATGTCCGCACCCGGGATCCAAACCAGTGAACCCCAGGCCACTGAAGCGGAACATGTGCACTTAACCACTGCGCCACGGGGTCAGCCCCATACTTCTTTGATTCATAGTTTTTATTTGTGTTCTATGTTATTTTCTCCTTCACTTTTTCTTGCTCATTATCTAGCTCTCTTAATCTGTTTCCCCTTCATTTCCGTTTTGGTTAAAATACAACTAGTACTTTCTGAGCTCATTCCTCTAATAATTTGCTAAATATAGCCAATAAAAATCAGCATAATATAAGATTAAGTTCACAAATTGCCTTCCATACTATCACAAGTGATAGTTTCCCAACTGTGTAATACAAATAAACTTCTATCATTCCTGCAATTTTCTCACCACCTCCCTACTTGACTCCTACTCCAGTTCTCTGCTTATTTTATGTTTGTTTCATGACCACACCCAACTTCTGTGTTATTCAGAGTGAGTTCAGGACCACATTATGACTTTCACGGATCCTAGCACTTTTGTGGTTCCTTCTTCCACAAAAAAATTTACTAGATTTTATGACTGCCTAGATATAAAGATGAATATAATCCAAACTTGATTATATTAATTTTTCTTCTGATTTTAAAGAAATTAAAACATTTTTTTCAAGTCCCTAAAACTACAGAGGGTAATAGGCACTGTGCCTGCCATGCTTAATGGAAAAGTTAGTTTTGAATGAATTAGATTATAATATAGTCATGAGTCACTTAAAGATGGGAATACACTCTGAGAAAAGCATCGTTCAGTGATTTTGTCATTGTGTGAACACCATAGAGTGCACTTATGCAAACCCAGATGATGTAGCTGACCACACACCTAGGCTATATAGTACAAATCTTATGGGACCACCATCATATCTGCCATCCATTGTTGACCAAAACATCATTATGTGGCACGTGACTGTACAATAAGAAAAAAAAGTCCCAAATTATCAGGGACTTAACACAAGAAAAGTGTACTTCTTGAGCATACTATGTGCAGTGGGCTGGGTCTGTGATACCTAATGCTCTCACTATGAGACTCAGGCTATGGGGCTGCCCGTATGTAAAATACCACTTGTCATTGTGGCTGAGAAAGGCTGAGAGCATGAAGAAGTGTGTGCTGACCTCGAACTTTCTATGGGTAGGAAGCAGGTTGAAGACTCCAATGCAGAAGCTAATTCTTTATATTGAAACTCAACAGCTTTGTCTCTCAGCCCACTTCTCTTTCTCGTATGATGACGTTCCCTTAGTGGCACTGGAAATTAATAACTTGGCATCCCTTAGAGGCAGTCTCAATGGATTTCATCATCATTTTCCTGGATTATGTTTGAGACGTGAGTTTTCTACACCCAAACTAGTTCAAACAACTTGCCACTTGGTTCATTTGAGGCCAGAAATAACCAGGAAATCAAATTTCAAAATCATAACACCATTGCCATCCACTCTTGTAACTAGGAACACTCCTTAACTTCCAAAACATTCCAAACGTTGCATCTTTTGTTTTTTTAAACCGGTGATGATTTTCTTTATTCTGTCTTTAAGCAAGATATTTTCCTTCCTGAATTTCCTCTTCCCTCTTTATTCACATGCATTACCTCTTCTTGTTTTTATGCTTACCTACACGCATTTTTTTCTGTTCCTCTAAGTTTTT